AAATCATACACACAGAGGAAAATGTTGCAAGGTAGAAACATTCCTTTAAAGAAGTATTTTATGGTGAAGTTCTAAGTTAGTTTGTACTTTGTATTGAGCTATGAGTCTCTTTATTCGTCTGCACCCACAGCTTTGACCAGCTATGCCACCAGTATCTCTGGCAGCCCAGTGTATCTGCACGGTCATACGCCGGTTGGCGCACCCTCCTTCAGCAGACAACACTTTTCTCCTCATCCATGGAGTGCATCCACATCAGGTACCAGACTCACACTGTAACTGTCCATCCACAAATGATCCATTACACATCTAGAGAAGCGTTTAAAAATTCACTTTTCTCTCGTATAAGTTCAAACAAATCAATGAATTCTTTAAATCTGTGATTCTGATCTGCTCCTGACTAGTTCTTCCTCTATCGCCTCTTCTCCACCAGGTGAATCTCCTGTCCCACCTCCCTCCACAGTGTCGTCCTCTGCCCTGTCCACCTCCGCTGTGGCCCCTCCCCCTCAGCCTAAGCCCGGCAACTCCTCGCAGCAGGACCGGAAGGTCCCACCACCCATCGGCACAGAGCGGCTGGCCAGGATTAGGCAGACAGGTTCGGTCAACCCACCTCTCCTTACCACCAGCTACACAGCATCTGTTGGACAAGGAGGCATTTGGTCGTTTGGAGTTGGCAGTGCTTCGGGTAAGAGCAAATATTGTTTTTGGTGTTTTGTGTTTCTTAGAATTAAGAGCATGGAAAAATGGCATATATGGTCAAATTAAAAGTGTGGATGTTATTACATACACATAAAGCAACATATTTCAATTTCAGTAATTGTTATCGTCAGCAATTAAGCCATAACCCTGTTGTGTGTGGCTTTGTGCAGAGGCTATGTCTGGTTGGTCCCAGCCCCTGATGAGCAGCCACATGATGCACCCCCAGCTCCAGGCGGAGCAGTCGGCCTTCTCTCAGCACCAGCCGATGGAGCAGGACGACACAGGCATCGCGAACCCTGCTAACAACTACCACCAGCCGCAGCATTTGCCCAACAGTTACATGGACTTCCCAAAGGTAACACAATGCTACGGTTCGGGAGATGATTTAACCTTTGCTCCTCTTATGAACAAATGTTTTACCAGGGATCTCATACTGTATTTCAGGGGATGCCTATGTCTATGTATGGAGGAACAATGCTGCCCCCTCATTCTTCCATGGCAGAGGGGCCAGGGGGACCGATGTACAATGGTTTGCACGCTGGTGACCCCGCATGGAGCCCCATCATCAAAGTGGTCCCAAACAATGCAGATAACGCTGACCCACAACAGCAGGTAAATGTCATCGTTTTTTAAACCTATGCTATCTGTTCATGTACACTTTAACCATCTGGCTTATTGTTCAGATACAATATTTGACTACGTCCCTCTAACATGATCCTCATGTCGATTCTCTCTCCTTCAGGTGTGGCCTGGTACCTGGGCACCTCATGTTGGCAGCGTGCACCTGAACCACGTGAACTAGACGGCGTCCACACCAATCAAACGCAAACAGCATGACCCACAACGCAAACATAAAATACAAACTGACGAATATGACCAATTAAGACAAAGAAAAAATAAACTTACAACATGTTAACTTTAGTAAGAGACCTGAGAGTGCAAAGCAGAGGTTGAAGAATTGGAAGTTCTCTCGACGCCATTCTTTGATGTGCCTAACTCAGACAATGAAAAGAAAATTTGGCAAGAGCTGTTAACAGTATCCTGATGATGCAAACAAACATGCGCGATCACCTGTTTAACAGGATCCATTCTCTGCGTAGTTTAGCGATTTTGACTTAAACCCACACACACCGTTCTTGGGCGGCAGGGGGCTCAACATGAAGTAGCTATTTAAACTTGGCCCAGAACTAGATGATGATTACCTAAAGAGAAATCAGAACCTTTTAGAGTGGTAAATACATGTATAATTGTTTACATACTAAAAAGGGTTAAAATGAGAGTAAATTTCATGTCGTATAGTGGCTCTACTTTATGTAGCCTGTATTAATGTGAAATATTTACCTTAATATTCAATAAAAAGATTGAAAAGTAACTTTGTCCTGTTTTATGAAACCGTGTTCTTCACTGTGTTTTTTCATTGTACATTGAACTTCTGAACCTTTAACAAGACACATGGAACACATTTAGTCAATTGTCTCTTAGGCTCCTTTTTAGGTTTCATCTGTTCTGCTGTCCTCACAGTTGGAGTCCTTGTGCAATCCTTCAACTTAATGGTCACAGTTTGCCTGTGAAGTACAATCAGTTTTATTAGAGAAATGTTTCTTCATTGAATGTCTGTGTATCATTCATTTTAGCTTGCATGCTAACTGAGCAAGCTGGAGGGGATTCAATGACACCTCAACAGGAAACTTTGGGTGTTGGAATCTGACCATAGATGAAAAAGAAAAGCCAGTGCAGTCTTTCGTTATGTGGCTGAATTTTCAGTATTGGTTGGAACTCTCAATTTTATTCAATACTGCCACTCAGTGGTAAGAGAAGTGATCGCTTGGCAAATCATAGGCAAACACTATGACCTGTACCACTATTAAAATATCATCAGTAAACTTCCTGTTTAGAGCTAAGATTCCACGATTAAACAAAATGCCCCAGTAAATGGTGGGTTCAGTTCCCTAGGGACTTTCTTCCAATATTTACTCAACTTTTATTTTTGTGCCTGGGCTCAGCCCAGTCCGTAGGCCTGGATTAATTTACAACCGCTCTCAGGAAAGTTTAAGGAAATATCAACAACACAATAATTGTTGGAACTATGAAACCTTGTTTGTTGTTTTTGTATTATCCCATCCATCACACTCTGGTCATGCAATAACATTTAGACACAAGATTCAAATAGTTCCAACAATTATTGTGTAGTTCATATTTCCTTAAACCTTCATATATATGAAAATGCATTGTTAACTTCAAGTCCTGGAATAGATAATAATTCCTAATGATAATATAAATGTTTAAGCATGCTTCATTGAAGTTATAGGGCCTAATGATTCATTATCATTAATAAAAACATTTAAAAAAGACCCTGCCAAAGAAGACTCGTTGTTTTATGCAGAGCGGTGCACTTTAATCCTCCAAATAAAATGTGATGTCTCTTTTTCATGCTCTGATGCTGTAGTGTTGTGTGTGTACGATCCACACATGGCCATCAGCAGACACCAGGAGGAGACAGACACTCAACGCCAGTGATATACTCCTCGTTCCTCATGGCTGAAGTGTCCGGGCTTTTATTGTGAAGTGAACGGAAGTGCAATCCTTCTCTTCCGCAGCTCACAGTGTTTCCTGCAGCATGGCGGCAGCTACAACACCAGCGGCTCCGGAACACACAGTTCAAGCTCCTCTGTCCGGGCTCGATGATGGACCCCCGCACATTGAGGGATTCAACCCGTCCCACCTGACCCGAGACGAGACGTTCAGAGAGAAGCTCGAGAGGAAAACCAAAGAGAACCCGTTCGTCCCCATAGGTGAGTTACACAAGCTGCAGAGTTACACAAGTCACTGTCCTTCATCCTGATCCAGCCACACAATCAACCACACAATCAATCAACCTCACAATCAGCCCCACACAGCTGAGGGCTGGAAGAATCTGGCACAACGTGAGCTAACACCAGAGAAAGTGGCTAAGCTGCTGAATGATGCATCTGTAAATACTTGAAATAGCTGCGAGCTAATCTACGGTTGACATTGAACCAAATGCACATCTGTAAAACAAAATACTGCACATCCACATCTTCTATAGAAATGCAAAGGAACCGTGGTGACCCTTACATATTTTAATCTTTACACTTCATTGACCCTTAACTTTCTTGGTATAATTTATTAAATGCATGATGATAATGTTTTTTATTTTTGTGTTTATTATCTTCTAACATTATCTTGTTATTGATTGCTTTGTTATGTAAAAGTATTAGTTAACTTTTTTTTAACATCGCCTGTAATGCATTCAATTACATTTGATTTGTTTGAAAGGTGCTTTATATATAAAGGTTGGATACTGTACATGTTGCTCCGTGTAAAGGGTTGAAGGCACACCCACTATACTGTATATATATATAATCCGTTTACATAAACTGTATATATTTATATAGCCTGTATATTCACTTGAAATTACGTATATATTCGTATCAAACTTGTGTGCAACACTCAGCACTGGATGTAGGTTGTGGTGCTAATTGTATTTCTATTTCTAGTCTCACAACTGCTCCCAGTCAAGACCGATTTGTGTGAAATGAGCCTTTATTGTTGAGACCTGACTACTAGCTCTTTATTTTAATTAGAAGTGTCTGAACAGACTTCAGTTGAACCAAAGGTCAGTGCATGTGTATGTGTGTATAAGTGTATGTTAGGCCTCCATCTTCTCCTGTATGTGACAGCATTAGTTGCAGTAGGTGCTCACCATCTGTCCTGTACGTTTACATTGCTCCGTCAGATTCTGTCTTTAATCTGCCACTTCCTGTCTCGTCTCCAGGTTGTTTGGCCACAGCGGGAGCTCTGATATTTGGTCTCCGTTCCTTCCAACAAGGGAATACCAGGCATTCCCAGCTGCTGATGAGGGGCCGCATCGCTGCTCAGGGATTCACTGTCTTTGCCATTATTGTTGGCGTCTTATCCACGGCTCTGAGAACCAAGCAGTGAAGACCCCTTCCACACCTCGTGCCATTATTGATTTCAATTTACCACCACAGCACTTGCACACGATCCAGATCCAGCTAAGACCTGGACTGATCATAATATCTGCCTGAACTGAGCAAAGTACTGTTTTCAACATTGTATTTATTGTTGTTTGAAAATAACTCATGGTGGCAAAATTATTTATATCAGAATATAACTATGGAGAAACTAACTACAATATGATTCTGACCGGACCGAGGAAGGAGGATTTTTTATTTAATTGTGCTATAATAGTACTAAAGCAAAAATTATGAATAATATAAATGGTTTCTTGCTTCTTGTTTTGCCACTGAAATGATCTATACAACACCTGCCGTTCTTCTGATACATAAATGTTCCTTTCAACCTGGTGTCCTGTGTGTTTTTTGCAATAAAACATCACACTCACAACGGTTGTCTGGGGACGTCTATTTCTTAAACAACCTTTATTAAACAAGTCATTTAAAAAAAAAAAATCACAGGGGAGATTTAATGTGAAGTTTTTATTTGATTGGCTGATTAAAACATTAGGACTCTAGACAAAGACTGACCCAGTCTAAATGTCCACTGTAGACTCTTGGACTTTTAATGTCACATTCAAGTCATAGGGAAGGGAGGGCTCCAAAAAAAGTATAAGGAATGACACAGCACTTTGTGGAGTTACCTTATCTATGCAGAGGCATTGTGGTGGCTAGCTAAGTGTGACTCATGCAAATAAAACAAATGCATCTTGCCTTCAAAGAATAAGAACTAGACACGCCTTGCTCCTGTGCACTTGCAAATTTGCACTTTTGGTCCAATGATTGTGTTTTTTTAAAACATAATGCAAGTGTTTAAATTGAATCAAACATGTTTAGTTTCACAGCAGCACAGTCCAGAAGTGACATAACGTTCAGATAGATGTTGGCATTGGGCCAAATGTAATTTTAGCTCCTCTCAGCGGAACAAACTGATTCAAGTGATGACCTCCAGGGTGTTTTGTTTGGCAACAGTCATTAGCCGGTAAATATTGAAGTACAAATAAATTTAGGGTGATCCTACACCACTGTTTTATTTTCCAGTTCCCTTTTAACATTCACTTTTCCAGTATTCGTTAAATCCAAATAGGCAGCATGTGAAACAATGTGCAGACATCACTGTTGAAACTCACACCTCATTGATTGCTGTTTTAAAAAATATAAAACATTAAGTGTGACACAAAATGGTGCATAAAACGTCTGCTGAGAGAAACCGGAGAGATGAGAACTAGCAAGCAATGTTTACTCACGTGAATTCTGGATAATTTAGATATTAGAAGAGATCTTTGGTTGTGAATGATTTTTTTGTTTTGTTGCCTAATTGAAGAGAAAGTCCCTCTGGCTGAAAACTCAAACTGCAGTAAGAGCAATATCAAAAAGGCCACAAGCTCATGTATGTGAAAGAGAAAAATATGCAATCTACCTTCATTTAGGTTACAACAACAAATGTGAACAAAGAATTAGTCATGGTTTTACATTGATGAGAGGCATAAGTGGTTACAATCTAATCTGTAACAGTGCTCAATAAGTGTGATGCAAATTTTAAAAAACTACTAAAACATGTGCATCCAAAATATTGGCAGAGACATGCAATAAAGTTGACCTAATAATTTATAAGTTAAAAGGGAAGGAAAATGTCAAATGTTTAACTTACAGTAACAATATTTTCTTAAGTAGTAGCAGTGAAAGAACTGATCAGCTAAAGGAGCGGCCCGTCTTCTCTCAGAAGAGTGAGGCTGAGTATATTACTTCAATGTAACAGGCATCAAGAGAAGCAGAATTTTTTTAGAAGGTTATAAACATACCAGTAATCTTATGGAAAAGGGCGTACAAACTCTTTGTGGTGTGGAGTGAGGTTAAAACTGAAAAAGGCAATGTTTCTCGAAGAAGACAACTCTCCCTGCGACCTCCTCTTTAGCGAACTAGAGGCGTCTGTTTGAGAGAGATGAGGACCGAACGCATTCGAGAAACATCCTTCGCCTGTTTGTTGGTTTTGGGGTTGAAGTCACAGAGACGGGCTACTCTCTCCCATTCCGATCCGGGGCTGTCGCCGTCAGTCTCGGCCAGGAAAGCCTCCTCCGATGCTCTGCAGGTCGGAGGGAAGACGAGCGAAAGACATGAATGAGTTTCTGGGATTTTCAGTTTCCACAACAGCAAACCTTATCTGAGCCAAACATGGTGCACAACCATAAAATTCAATCACGTGAACCCTGTGCATACGATCCACAATGACCTCATGCATTTCTTTCTAGCAATCAAACACTTTGATGGACACATGTTCAATATTTATTTCAAAAGCAAGAAATACGAAATGAAACCTTCCAAAAAAATAATTTTTAGTATTCAGGCATGCATTAGACAACATTATAAAAGCGTAAGAACTCTAAACCTACACAAAGCCTATAACATCAGAGTTGGGCTGTTTGTAGAAAGCCTTGTCAGCAATCCTAGTACGCAGGCAAGGCCAAGAAAGCAGGGGAAAGACGGAGAGAGGAGAACAGGTTCAGTGTCAAACAACAGGCAGAGAAAAGTTAGGGTCTGCATTAAAATGATTAGCGACTGAGAAACAATTCCAATGAGGTGGAAATGAAAATGTAAAAAAGTTTAAACTGCTCTCAGAGTAAGTACAATCTGCCTGGACAGCTGTAATGCACTGCAGCAAATAAAGAAGCTTGGAAAAACATTTGAGTGACACACTGATGCTTTCTGCCGTTTGCATTCCTTCCAGGTAGCAAGCTTCCTATTTCTTTTTCCATGCGTTTTTTTAGCAGGACACTGAAATCTCATCAGAGGATTGTTTCTCAGCGCTTTCACAGGCAACAGACGAGGACACTAGCGAACACTACAGCCACAGATGCAGAGTGATACCGTGCCAGACTTGGACAGAGTCTGTTGGAAAGTGTGAGAGAAGCACCGGTTAGCTCGGTAAAGAAAAAGGAGAAAAAGGCTGAGATATTGTAAGTATAGAATAAAACATACACACATCTCATCTTCAATACTTTCAATGATTTTAAACATGAAGCAGTTACATTAGAAGAATCCCTCTGACATTTGATTCTACGCCCAAAACACTAAAGTTTAAAAATATCTCAAAGTTCACCTGATACAATAATCTTGTTGTAATCTTGTTTCTGTAGCCACACAGTGCAGATGACTTGACATATTAAGTCAAAACCGTTTTGAATGATTTCTACTGAGAAACATTACAATCTGCCAGTACAGCACTTGGAATTGTGAAGCTGACATGACAGTGTTCCTGTAGCGATTATGGCCTCATCACATCATAATGACCATCCAACTGTTACATCTCTGCATGTTAACAAGGGGCATGTCAGACACTAACCTGTTGTTGGCCTTGTTCTTCTCCATCTGCTCGTTCTGGTGCACATGCCAGTCCTCCAGCTCCTTTTTGGCTTTCTCTCTCCACTCTGCCTCTGCTGCCTTGGATGCGGAGTCTGAGTCAGGGAGGCAGTGGAAGAGAACAGTGTCGCCAGCAGAGGGAAAGACAGAGGAGGAAAACAAAAACATAAGTGGACCTAAGTGACACATAATTCGATACGCTGAACCAGGCTAAAGGGGAAGGATAAACACAACAAAATGACAAAGTCACAGTGACACATTTCAGCTAATAATACAGCTAACAATAATATAACTTATACAGAAAGCATGTTACAAAGTCCTTTACAAAGAAGAAACAATGAGAATATAAAAGTAAAACATGAGCAGAGAAAATACAATAATAGACAGAATTATTTAAAGGATAAGTCAGTGTAAAAACAGTCGATATCAATCATTTGAGGGAAATTCATTCCATCCACAGATCAGAGCAGTCTAGAGCCTGTTCCAGATCAATATATTTGGAAGGTGCTTTGTTGCAGTGCCATTTAAGATCTTAAAAGTGGGCAATAAAATTTTAAAATCAATATGAAGTTTAACAGGGAGCCTGTGTGGGGAGACAAGCACAGGGGTGATGAGGTCATGTCTTTCTGTCTCAGGGATGCACCGGGCAGTGTCTTTTAACTGAAGACCAGAAGACAGTGCGTTAAACAGGATGATCACCATCCCAGAGAAACCATGTTTGCTCACCTAACACTTCAAGGCGTGTCTTCTGCTCCTCCCTCCATTTGCGTAAACTCTCGGGCTCTTGTCTCTGAATGTCCACCTGGGCAATGGCTGCATAGCTGTCTGTCGGGCCATTAGACTCCTTTAGGACAAGAAACATTGACTCCATTATAAACTGGTTTGGGATCTAAATACTGCGTAGATAGTAAATCCATCACACACGATATGACAAACTCAGGGAGAGAGAAATACATAGTTTGATGGAGCTCAGATTTAGAATCAAACTGACACACACACACACACACACACACACACACACACACACACACACACACACACACACACACGGGGTTAACACAATGTAAGAGACAGGTTGAAGGTGTGTGTAATCTCACCTGAAACATGTCTCCATTCACTGTGGCAGACTCGTCATCGAAACCGTCTGACATCGTGATAAGAAAACAAGGTTTACTGTTATTGAATGTTGATCTGGACTTCAGTTAGCCGAACTTCCTGATCCCCTGGGCTAACTTCTAACAGCGTCGCTGTCGGATCTGATCCTGTCACACTGAGAAAATGCAGCGGCACCTGTTTGACTGCTGATGTTGTCACTTCACAGGACTGGATTTTCCAGAACAGTGCAAACAGCTAGCCAACATCATTAAGCCATGCTAATGCTGCACGTTAATAAAACATGGTGGTAACCACAGTGTTGTAAAGGTGGTGGTCACAGGTTCACATCTCCAACGATCGGGATGAAGTAAATCACTGACATTTATTAACGTTATAGCTCTCACTATGCAAACAAACGCACCATGCTAACTAGCTGAACCGCAGCTAATGTTGCCTCAGTTAAATCAATAAACAGACTGGACAGTGCAAAGGGACTGAAACACACGACTGCATCAACCAGTGATGTTGTTAGAAACATATGGTGCAGGAGCCGCTGTTGGCCAACTCTTTTACTTTAGCTTTAGTTAGCTGGTTTGCTTGCTAGCTGCGGCTGAGGTTAGCACAAACTTACCATAGCTGGCCGGCTGGGGCTCGGGCTGCGCCGGCTGCTGCTGCTGCTGGTGGCCGTTGGCTCCTTCCAGAGCCCCGAACCCGTCTCCGTCGTTCTCTATCCCCGCGATCTCGCTCTCCTGTTGGGCCAGGAAAGCCGCGGCCGGGTCCTCCTCAGCAGCCGGGTGCGCTCCGTTGTCAGCCATCTTTCACAAAAGTGTTTACAAGTTCCACTGCGCCTGAGGTTCAGCTAGCTAATGTCAGAGCCCCACGATCAGGCCAACAGACTGGTAACGTCAATTAAAAACACACTTGATATGTAATATCCCCACTCGGATATGAAGGATTTCAAGCAGCACAGGCTGGAATGTCGTCTGTATTAAACAATGACAGCTTCGAGCTGAGGCCTCACTGATGATTCATGATTTTCTTCACTTGTTCTGCTGATGATGAAGCAGAGCAGCGCCACAGGGTGCCAGCTCCCTTTTGTTGGGGTGTGTCTCCATCTGCTGGTCATCTGCTGCAACTCTTCCTCTACTACTACTACTACTACTACTACTACTACTACTACTACTACTACTACTACTACTACTACTTACTACTACTACTACTACTACTACTACTACTACTACTATTACTACTGCTACTACTACTACTACTACTTACTGCTACTACTACTACTACTACTACTACTACTACTGCTACTACTACTACTACTTACTGCTACTACTACTACTACTACTAC